GATCGCATTTTTTAAATCCTCACTCAAGATATGTTTTATCGATTTTAGAGAGAGGAAGAGAGAGAGAGAGAGATTGAGAACATCGATTGCTTGCCTCCTGTACCCGCCCAGACCAGGGATCAAACCTGCAACCTAGGTATGTGTCCTGCCCGGAAATCAAACGTGCACCCTTTTGGTGTATGGGACAATGCTCCAGCCAACGGAGCCTCCCATCCAGGGCTAACATTTTTGTTTTTAAAACATGTCACATACACTTAAAACTTGTAAATTTACTGTGTGTTCATATTACCTTAAAGGAAAAAAAAAGCTCATCTTAAGAAGCAGTCAGGGTAATCTGACCACTGCAGGAAGACTCTAATTAGGGTGTACTGGTAAGCAGGGACTGTACCCACAAAGACATTTTCCCCTGACGTGTAGTAAAGCTCCGGAAAGCTGCCTTTGCCAACAAAAAAGATATTCTGCATAGGCTAACGAATAGTATTTATTGTGCTATTTGTTTTGAAGCACTTTTATGTAAATCCCCAACTACTCCATTCTAAGGCCGATAGTGGAGGTTATTACTATTCCCATTTGAGGGTTCAGAAGGAACCCGAGATCTCGAGAGGATAAAGATGTGGGAAGGATGAACTCTGCTAGAGCAGACTTGGTATTTCATGACTTCCTCCTCTTGATTGTGTGGCCGGATGTGTCAGGACTGGTCCTCAATCCAGAAAACAGAAGTATGCTGTGCACGTAGGCACGTGTACACGCACGTGAGTCACACTTGGGTTACTATGTACAGTGATCTAATAAAGGAATTGGAACTGATTATTCAAACCTTCTATACTTCAGGCCTCTTGATGCCTCTCCTCTCTCTCCCTTCTCTGTCTCTCCATTTGATCATTTTATTTCTAAATAGTAATTTTCACTGAAGGATGGGCTAGGGAAATAAAAAGCAAATGAAAGTCACATTAGTAGTGTGGAGAATAATTTTAATAAAAGCCACCGCGGAGAATGCAGTTGTAATTAGCACTGAAATGAAATTCTGATTGCTGCTGCATTTCAGCTTGCTTCCCTTTCCTGAGCCTTTGTTCCGTAGAAAACAGAGTTCGATTATGCAAAGCACCTAGCGAGACTGAGCTCCTTTTGTCTTGCTAAAGAAGCCATGTAGGTACCGCTTCGGTTACCCAGGCCAGCTAACAGCATTTAATGCACTTGCCTGTTTCAGTTTGCAGTGACGACCTTACCCACAAATTCAAAGGTTTTACCGTGATGAATGAAGCAGAGCGATACGAGGCTCTCAGACACTGTCGCTATGTGGATGAAGTCATCAGAGATGCTCCATGGACACTCACACCAGAGTTTTTGGAAAAACACAAGGTACTTACTCTCCCCTGTTCTCTAAGTAGCAGAATTAAGGCACCTGGCTCTGCAGCCAATACCCAGAAAGCCCAAAGACTCTACCAATTCCTAAAAGAGGGGACTTCAGGAACTTCCATTTGGTGTCACTTGATGGAGCCCCTCTCTCCTGCCCGATCCTGGGGACTGATAGCCTCTCACTTCTTCAGTGTGGGCTCTGGAGCTAGACCCCCAACAGGTCCAACTCCAGCCTCTATCCCTTCCTAACCTTGAGCAAAATATTGAACTCACCTAAACTGTAAAATGGGATGATATTAGTGCTTTCCTCCTGGGGCTGTTTTGAGGATCTAATGAGCTCATCTAAGTGAAACCCTTGGAACAGTGGCTGGCTCATAGCAAGAGCTCCAAAAATGTCATTATCGTCACCATCACCACTGTCATTATTTGTGCTTATAGATTCACAGGCAGCATTTTTCATGGAACAAATGAACACACATCTTATCCAGAAGGGCAGGGGTCAGCCGTTAGGGAAAGAACTTTATATCTATGATTTTGTGACCCTGAGACTCCTACTGATACAAGATTTGTATTAGTTGAAAACATGAAAAATTCGTTTGATTTGCATCAAATTATGTGCTTTGTATCTCCCTACCAGACCCACATTAGGAGCTATTCTTTCCTTTTATAAGCAGCACAAAAAAATAAGATTAAGCAGTTCTAAGAGTTTTCTTGTCTATTTTTAAATTCACCATGCAGAAGAGAATAGAGAACACTGATAAATGTGCATCGGTAATAGCAGAGGAGACAATGTCCCAGCAAGAATAAAAAGAAAAAGGAAGAACTACAATATAATTTACTTCCAGCAATCACTAACACATTTTTATTAAGCATCTATTGTATATTCAACTTGTGCTAGGCATTATGGAAGTACTCATGATGGTGATGATGGCTGCCACTTCCTGAATATTCACTATGTGTCCAGCCCTGTGCTAAGTCCTTTGCTCTTACACAAATTGTATTCAATTTCATGGCTACCCTGAGAAGTTGTTGTTGTTGTTGTTATTGTTATTATTATATATTGGACAGGAGGAGGAACTAAGTTTGAGTACTAAGAAGAAGAATAACTAACATTGAGTACTGTGTGCCAGTTATTATTTTTAAACACTTAAACAAGAGGGGTACTACTGGCATCTAGTGGGTACATGGTCGGGTGCTACTAAGCATCCTACAGTGCACAGGACAGACACCCCACTAAAAGAATGATTAGGTCAAAATGTCACTGGTACCGAGTTTGAGAAATCCTGATTTAATCTTTACCACCAATTTATAAGTTATATAGCTAGTAAGTGGTAGGGCAAGAATCACATCCATGCAAATTAAACTGCTATTCCAAACTACCTATCAAGGTGGACTGTAGGTGTGTTATAAAGGGCTTTGAAAGATAGGTAAGGAGGTTTTACTTGATGTAGGAGGAAACAGAACTAGTGAAGTCAGCAGGCACAAGGATGAGACAGAGAAAATTCTGTTTAAGGAAGATCCCCCAGGTGACAGAGGAATGACTTGGACAGGAGCCTGTAGTGAGGAAAGTCAGGTACAAATTGATATCAATAATCAGGTGACCCGGCCCTGGATTAGTGTAGTAGCAACAGAGAGGAAGTGAGGCCACTTCTGAAGGTGTTTGGGGCCTAGGTGAACTGGAAAAATGGAGGTGCCCTTAGAAGGGGGCACCAGTTTTCAGGATGAATGAAATTCCAGGTAGATGGGTTTTAAAGAGACAGCGAGGGGTAGTAAAAGAGAAAAGAGTGACTTTGGGCAAATCTGATAAATTTTCCAGATTCAGCAGCGTTATGTCCCAACTGAAATAATAATATGCGCCCTACTTACCTCACAAGGTGGTTATGAAAAATCAAATGAGAAAAGAGATAAAATTCATTCATCAGACTAAATTCATTTCCATAATACCGTATAAGATGGCACTTAAGTGTGAGTGCCTATTGCCATCAATGGGACAGGAAATGGAGACTTGGGTTCCTCATCATAGCAGCAGGGACTCAAGTGTGAAGAATGAATGAATTCTCTAAAGGACAAAGTTTAGAGGCAGAAAAACAAGAGGCCAAGAAAACCTACTGTCAGCGGTAGGAGAAAGGGGGACCAGCAAAGGAGAGAAACCAATCTAGTTCCCATTCTCTCACAGACATGGAGACGGTTGGAAATACCTTTCAGTCCAGGATTCCAAGCCACATTATAAACTGCTTATTTCAACTGCTTTATTCCAGCTGCTTTATTTCAAAAAGGCATTTTCAAATTGCAGACATGCACATCCATCCCAGTGGTGACATCACTCTTCTCTCTCTAACAGATTGACTTTGTGGCCCATGATGACATTCCGTACTCATCTGCTGGCTCAGATGATGTTTACAAGCACATAAAGGAAGCAGGTGAGGAGTTCTGGGCTCCCCTGTCTACTGTGGCACAATAATCAGGTTTAGTGCGGCATCTGCCCTAGGTCTCCAGTATTGACATACCAGTTGGAATTTCAGAGGTCTCCCAAGTAGCCTTTTCAAGCCTCTGTTCACATGTGCTAAATGGTGCAGACCCCAATTAGGTATTTATATAGGGATTAACCCAGCCGTGGGCAAACTACGGCCCGCGAGCCGGATCCGGCCCGTTTGAAATGAATAAAACTAAAAAAAAAAAAAAAAAAAAAGACCGTACCCTTTTATGTAATGATGTTTACTTTGAATTTATATTAGTTCACACAAACACTCCATCCATGCTTTTGTTCCGGCCCTCCGGTCCAGTTTAAGAACCCATTGTGGCCCTCGAGTCAAAAAGTTTGCCCACCCCTGGATTAACCTGAGCCCCAAAGTACTCAACTTCTGGTTTAAGGCTTCATCAGACCAAACTCACAGGACCCTGTGGTTTAAAGGGCAATCATTTTCCTCATTCACAATGAAGTCCTCACAATGAAATTATTTTACACTCCCAAGAAAGTTCCTTCCAGAAGATGACAGATAACTGGCTAATTAACAATCTGGACTCATTGTCTGCCACGTCCAGTCCTGCCGTATATCATCTTGTCACATGACAATAATATCCTCAGAGTACCACATGCAGAGGACAGAAAGCATGGATAAGTTTTTGTAGATTCCAGTAAAATATAGGATGTCTCAAAAAAGTTGTATACACACACTTTGAATAATTATAAAAGCATTAGTTAAGAATGGGAGGCCTGATGTTTTCAAATCCTGATCTTGTTTGTAAGTTCTAAGAAAGGAAACCCCATACACGTCGGACTTGCAAGGGTGCTGTGGAACATGTCTGGGAGGGGGAGGAACTGACTGGGGCATCAGTTACATCAGTTTAAGTCTTTGTAAGATCTGAGTTGTGAGCCAGTTGCTCCTTTTCTAACACTGCTCTGAAGGACCCAATAGAGACCCTTGCTTGTCAACTGGGAATGTGCCTACAGATCCCTGCAGGGTCCTTTCAAAGTGCAGGTTTGGATTCAATGGGCCTGGTGGGACCCAAGATCCCCATTTCCAATGAGCCCCCAGGTTGTTAGAAGCTGTAGGTCTATAGATCTCACCTAGAGTATCGAGAATCCAGACCTGGGATTCTGGTTCACCCCGGATCACCCCCAGGATTAATGGAACCAACATATCCCAGGGTGACAGTTCCTCAGCTACTGTCCAGAGTAGGGACAAGCACTCAGTGGTGGTTTTCCTTCTGAGTGGATGACGCTAGTGAGCTAAGAAAAGTTGCTTTCCTGATTTTAGGGAGTCAAACCTCAACTCTAGCTGTTTAGGTGTAGGAACAGCTCCAACGTTTTTCTAACTCTATGCTATTCAGCACCGTATTGCTGCATTAGAAATTACCCCCCCCCCCAGTTTAGTGACTTAAAAGAGCGGAGGGTTTGGCTGGGTGTCTCAAACGACTGTTGTCAGATGTTGGCTGGGGCTGCAGTTATCTAAAGGCCCAACTGTTGCTGGCAACAGGTGCTGGCTGCCCACAGGGAGTTCAGTTGGGCTTGACCTTGGAGCACCTACACATGGCCCTTCTGGGTCGTATGGGCTTCTCAGAGCATGGTGGCTGGGTTCTAAGAGTGTGCGTCCTAAGAGGAGGCATCCGGAGGGCTTGCCATCTTGATAGAAGCCGCCAACTTTTTCTGCCCTAGCCCTGGAAGTCACCTGGTGTCATTTATACCAGCGGTCACCAACCTTTTGGACCTCACGGACCACCAGTGGTCCACGGACCACCAGTTGGCGACTGCTGATTGATACTACAGTCAGTTTGTTATAAGCAAGTCACTAAGGCCAGCCCAGATTTCAGGGGATGAGAACTGTGCTCATGTTTAATTCACCACAATTCTCATCTCCAAATTGAATAGTCAGATGGTATTTTACTTGCCCTGGGAGCACAGGCATAAGCCTATATGTGACTTTTCATATGCACAGGGACCCATTCTTGTGATCCACTGATCTGCTCTGTTGAGTCCTCACCAATGAAGACCCACAGCAGAGATCTGTTTAGGGTCCACGTAGAGGAGGCCAGCGTATTCATTGTGGGAGAAAGATGCTCAGAAATGGCCTAAGCCTCCACATTTGGCTTTTATACTTGAGGTATACTTTGCATGTCAGAAATCACGTTAAATGAAGCCAGAGGTATCAAGGGCATGAATTAAAGTTTACAGTACTCTACTCTGCTTATCAGAGCTACGTGTCAAAATCCTGCTGCAAAGCTGGATTAAAAGATGGGGCTTAAATGAAGTAGACTGTAAGGTCCACATCATCATCATTCTAATATTGCCTACTACTGTTGAAAGTTCCCTTCATTAACATGTGCTTTGCTGCTTCTTAAAATAGCTCCATAACCAAATGCTGCAATTCTGAAAAGCATGATAAAAAAGGTTCTCTGATCATACTCATTACTGAATATTTTTAGCAGAGCAATAATTAGGATGTGGAGGAAGCCGGGTGCCTCATTATAGCAGCAGAGGGCTTGGCTTCTTTCAGAGACCTACCTCCCAACCAGACAAAGCAAATCTCTCCCCAAAGCCAACTTTTAGTTACTCAGCCACAGAGGCCTCACCCTGTGGCTTCAAAGAAAGAGTGAGCTCATGTCACCAGTGTCGAAGTGATCTGTTAAAGTCCATGAATAGCCAGAGAATCCTCTTAACATTTCAGCAGGCAGGGGTAGAGTGAAATAGCTGTCTGCTGAAAGGTGGCACATACTTCTTTCTCACCAGAAGGCTCCCTGCTGCTCCCACCAAGGTGTTATTTCAGGTCCCCCCTTTCCTGCTTTGGGACAGCTCAGAGTTTCCCCACCCACCAAAGCACCCTGCACAGCTGGGTCACTTGAGAGTTGTTTATACCCACGCATTTAGATGTTTGCATCCTCTGCCTTCCATTTGGTTTTCTGGAGTCCTCCTTTTTAGAAGGAGATAAAGGACGTTTTTGATCTAGTGGGAACCCCAACTCTGTCTTCTGAGCTACAGAATATTAGAAACCGGATGTGTTGTCTTTAACATCAGCAGTGCCATCCTGATGCTCATACTGCCAATATGCAGATGATCTTCAAAGAAAGCTCCGAAGGGACACCCTGGGAGGGGCCAGAAGACTAGAAAATTTACCCCTCCTCGCCTTGATAGATTCAGAGAAAACTGGATTTGGAAAGGCATTTAGGGATCAATATTCATCTAGCCACTCATTCACCAAATGTCCCTATAAGTGCTCAACTGTCACCTGGTGCTGAGACTATAGAAGAGAATGAGACACGAGCAGTTCCTTTCCCCATGTAGCTTATAGTCAAGTCGGGAAGGCAGTTATTGAACAAGTTGTTTTATAAAGACCTTGGAATAACTGAAGGAGAAGAGCAGTTAGTTGGACCTTGGTAGGGAAATAACGAACAGGAAGATCCAGTCAGAGGTTGAGAGATTTCCTTGAGGAAGTGACGCTAAAGGTGAAACGCAATGGATGACCAAGAGTTAACCAGGTGGAGTGTGTTTGTGGCAGAGTAAAGAGAGGGGGCCAGCCCTTTCAGGACACTGAAGTTCAGTGTGGCTGGACCAAGGCAGGGCCAGACTGTTGCCCAGTGCCATGGACTACAATTAAAATGGTACCCCCTGCCCCTGTGTATCACAGGGACTTGGCTTAGGGAGTAAAGGAGGTGGAGAGCATCTGAGGTGAGACTGGAGAAAAGCACAGGGAAGAGATAACGCAAGCTGCTGTAGGGCCAGATTAAGGATTTGAATATAAATACAGAGGACAGTAGCCTGGCCAGCATGGCTCAGTGGTTGAGCATCAACCTATGAACCAGGAGGTCATGGTTTGATTCCTGGTCAGGGCACATGCCCAGGTTGCAGGCTTGATCCCTAGTGTGGGGCATACAGGAGGCAGCCGATCAATGATTCTCTCTCATCATTGATGTTTCTATCTCTCCCTCTCCCTTCCTCTCTGAAATCAATAAAAATATATTAAATACAGAGGACAGTAGAAAGCCAGTGAAGGCTGTTGGGTAGGCATATGACTTGCATTTTGAAAGACTGCCCTGCGATCTTGCTATAGGGAGAGTTAACTGAGAGGACCAAAAAAATGGCATCACTAAAGAGTGGTATTGAGGCTCTTGCTGTAATCTTTGCAAAAGATGGCATTAGATTGGTTTAGAATTGGATAATGGAGACAATTGCATCAGTTGGGGAGATATTTACGAAGTAGATTGGTGATTAGAAGGAAATTGGGTATAAGGAGTGAGGGAGAGGGAAGTGGCATGGATGAGCCCAAGGTCATCTTATCTAGCCACCTCATTTCTCAGCTTTGGAGACTGAGGTTAAGTAACTTGCCTTCTGAGGCTTGAGAAACTTGCCCAAATCTACAAACCAAAAAGCCAGCATCATGGTCCCTAGACTCTTTCCATCATGCCGTCCCATGGCTGATGTCTCTGATTGAGTAGCCATAATCATACCAGGTAGAAAGATCTCAATTGCCAACACAGCATTTCAGTTGACACCTGTAAGCACAAACCAGCTTCTTGTCTTTGATAACATTTGTGACCTCTTTTTAGCCCTGTATTGGTATACCCATATATATCTGAGGACTTTAAGGAAGTTCTATTGTAATTTGGCATCCTCTGCTTTTTTTTTTTTACTCAGTCCCACGTATTCTAAATGAAAGGGCCTTTGAGTGGGGATATCACCATCCAGAGTAGAACAGTCTTAGGGAGATAAAATCATCTAGCACCCCACAAACATGTTTTTAGATCAGAGAAAACAAAAATAAAACACTCTTTCTTCTTTTCCTTCAGTATAACATGACACAGACTTCCTTGGGGAAGAAGGGGAGTTGCCATGATCTGACTAATTGATTCAGTTTTATTCTCTCTTCATTTACTCATTTAATTTGCATTTCTTGAGCACCTTCCATGTGCTAGACCAGTGGTTCTCAACCTTCCTAATACCATGACTCTTTAATACAGTTCCTCATGTTGTGGTGACCCCCAATTTCATTGTTACAAATTGAACATAATTAAAGCATAGTGATTAATCACAAAAACAATATGTAATTACATATGTGTTTTCCGATGGTCTTAGGCGACCCCTGTGAAAGGGTTGTTCGACCCCCAAAGGGGTCGCGACCCACCGGTTGAGAACCGCTGTGCTAGACACAGGGGCACTGATCTTGGTGCTGGGGATGCAAAGACAGTCAAGGCATAATCTGTGCTTTCAGAATGTTCTCTTTCTACAAGAAGACAGACATTGAAAATACTTTTGTTAGTGGAAGATGCGCTATGCAGTCGCAGGGGGCACCATTCTCATTGCATGTCGTAAATGTTGAGGATTCTGCCCAGGGGTGTCAGTAAAGACTTCCCAGAGGCATAACCTGGCCACTGGATGTGGCAGGATGAGGAGGAATGCTGTGGCTGATGTGAGCAGGGAAGGAGGATTCAAGGCGGAAAGGAAGGGCTGGGCATGAGCAAATGCTAGGAGCTGGGTGAGTGCATGGTGCATCCAGGTCCAGGATGATGAACACTCAGTGTTAATGGGAGAACAGGAGCATGCAGAACTGAGCCTTGGAAGAGTCAGCTTGGCCAGATGTGAAAACCTCCCTGACACAGCAGGAGCTGCAACTTTGCCCTGCAAAGGAGGATTAAAGAAGATGGGTCAACCAAGTCCCTCTTACTTTTTTCTCGTCATCTCCCCTTTCCTATCCGAACAGGAATGTTCGTTCCAACGCAGAGAACGGAAGGCATTTCAACATCAGATATCATCACCAGAATTGTCCGAGACTATGATGTGTATGCCCGTCGCAACCTCCAGAGAGGGTACACAGCAAAGGAACTAAATGTCAGCTTCATAAATGTAAGTGTGCCACTTCGTGCCCTCTGAAGACCACCAAATCACACCACTGTCGCCGTTTATTGAGCACTTACTATATGCCATGCCGTGTTCTTGGTGTTTTACATTTATGGTCTCATTCAATCCACATAACAACCCAAGGATGTATTATCATCCGCATGTTACAGATGGAGAAACCACTGTTCAAAGGGGTAACATAAGTCAACCAAGGCACACAGGTAGTGAGCTCCACATCTTATAAAGGAACTACCTCACTTCCCTCCCCTCCCCTTAATATTCCTCTTTAGAGTTCTCAGACCTGGCCAACGGTTTCTGGGAGATCTGCTCTCATGAAAAGCAAGAGTTTTCTTCTGGCCCTAGCCGGTTTGGCTCAAAGGATAGAGGGTGGGCCCTTGGACTGAAGGGTCCCGGGTTCGATTCTGATCAAGGGCATGTACCTCAGTTGCAGGCTCGATCCCCAGCCCCGGTTGGGGGCCAGGCAGAAGGCAATCAATTGCTGTGTCTCTCTCACATCAATGTTTCTCTCTCTGTCTCTCCCCCTCCCTTCACTCTCTCTAAAAATCGATGGAAAAATATCCCCGGGTGAGGATTAACAACAACAACAAAAATAGTTCTCTTCTGCTCAGAGGGAAGGAAGGAGGGCAGAGGGGATGGAAAGCTAAACCCAGAGAAAACGCTTTCTTGTTCTAACATTTTTAAATTTTCATTTTATTAAGACCTCACAGATGCTCACCAGACACCTTAAAAACAGTTTTTTCTTGTCCAGAGAAATTACAGCTGCTTAAATAAAGCCTAAAGTCTTTGGCTTCCTTGGGTATTTCTGCCATATTGTTCCCACAGAGCTGCTGTTAGCTTAATCATAGAGTAGCTGTTAAAACAATCTTTAAAACAAGCAAAACAAACTGTTAAAAAGCAAAGAGGGCAGCCCAGTTGCTGGAGGTGATGGTAGCGAGTCTGGACAACTGTATTTGCCTAGACTCCCAGGAGCCCAGGTAGTTGATTAAAACAAGAACTCCCATCCATCCAGAATTTCAACCCCCCAAAATACTGTATTTTCAAAGAGGGATTTTTCTATAAAACTAGATGCTTAGAATTACGGGCAGCCATAATTAGTCAGCAGCTTACACAGATTGGTCACTGCTCCCTTCCCAATGAGGAAGGGCTCATTAATTGTAAATCAGGGATTATTAGTTGTCCCCACGAGACGGGGGCGGGGGCGGGAGGGGGGTGTTGGTGGTCCAGGCTCTGTGGCTTCATGCAAGCCGGGCAACAAAGTGGAAAATGTCAGCTTCAAGTGGCACCAGAATACGTGGCTGAAAAGAATTCAGTCAACGCGATTATTTGGTGTCTCATAGAGAATTAAGCCCCGGTTATTTAAAGACATTAAACCGATCTTTTAAACTGAATTCAGTCAACCATCCAAGCATGTCGAGCCATTTCCAAAAGTTCTCGCTCACGCTCTTTAAGCGGCCTGTGGCTAAGCCCCTGAGCTCAGGGAGCTGTGCAGTCGGCATGGATGCTCTCATGCCCTTTCTGTGACAACAAACCTGGCTGCAGCCTGGAGAGAGAGTCAAATGTGTTGGAGGGGCGTGTAGATGAGTCACAGGACCCCAGAGGTGGCCGGAACCTGCCGAGGGTCAGTCACCCTGTCCAAGTCCCTCCATGTAGGAATGAGGAAAGCTGAGCTCAGAGGGTACCTGGCCAAGGCCCCTCAGCAAAGTAGAGGTGGAGGTGCAGCAGCCTCCCAGCCTTGTGACTCCCGATCCAGTGCTCATTCTACTGCTCTGTGCTGCCCCTGAGAGCCATTATAATAACCATATAGTAAAAATAGCTGAGTGGCCCAGCTGACATGGCTCAGTGGTTGAGCGTCAACTTATGAACCAGGAGGTCATGGTTCGATTCCAGGTCAGGGCACATGACCAGGTTTTGGGCTCGATCCCCAGTGTGGGGTGTGCAGGAGGCAGCCAATCAATGATTCTCTCTCATCACTGATATTTCTGTTCCTCTCTTCCTCTCCCTTCCTTCCTGAAAAAATATATATATTGCAAGTATATATATTTATTTATTTTAAAAAAAGCTGAGTGGCAGCACATATAGCTCACACCCCACCCTGAGGCTGTCGTGAAATTTGGAAAGTCTAAATCAGGGAATCCTGATCCAGTTTTGCAATCGTCCAGGTGCCTTGAGAAAATCTGAAATCTGAAATGAACTGCAGTCCCGTGTAGTGAAGAAAAATGATAAAGCTTATTACCTATTTAGGAGAAAATGTATGATGATTTCATGGAGGGGAGGACCCTCTGTCTCATGTTATTTTCATGGTTTTCATACCACTGTCATCAGGTAACAGGATTAAATGCCTAGGCCACTTAGTAGCAATGAAACAGACAACACACACTGAGCTTTTACTAAATGCCAGGCTGTGCCAAAGCACATTCTTGCATTAGTTTATCTAATTGTTGCCGAGACCCTCTAGGGTAGGGATAATGATCCCATTTCACAGATGAGGAAACTGAGGCTTAGAGGTGCCATGTGACTTGCCTAACATACAATGCTTTCCAGGCATACAGATATTAGCACTGTTGCATAAAAGCTATAAGAAAAACAAAGCCCCGGTCAAAAGAAGCTATCAGGATAAGAGATTTCTTCACCACCAAGGAAAGCAATGCAGTTCAATTAGCTTCATGGAAAATACCGTTACAATGAAAAGTTTAGCATAACACGTGGATGCTAAGGCCCAGCAAATGACCCACTTTTTCAACCCATATTGGTTTTAACAATGTCTCAGTGAAACAGAAGATTCAGGAAGCCTCTGAGGGGCCATTCTATGTACATTTATCCTTTTGGCTAAGTCCCAGCAGAATTGGGCGGGGGGTGTATTTGCCCAATATCTACCCATAATAAAGAGCAAATATATATATTTTTGGTTATTCTCATATAATCGAATTCAACTAAGACATTTACAAAAAAGAGACTGTTAAAACCAGTTGTACTTCACTTGTACATATCCAACAAGACTAATGATAAATGCCTTTTCTTTTTCTTTCTTTTTTTTCAATCCTCAACTGAGGATATTTTTCCATTGATTTTTAGAGAGAGGGAAAGACAGAGAGAAATATCCATGTGAGAGAAACACATTGATTGGTTGCCTCTTGCATGTGCCCCCACCAGGGCCTGGGCCAGGGAGGAGCCTGCAACCAAGGTACATGCCCTTGACTGGAATCTAACCCGGGACCCTTCAGTCTTCAGGCCAACGCTCTATCCACTGAACCAAACTGGCCAGGGTGACAAGTGACTTTTCTAATAAGAGATGTGCCTTCCCATCAATCCAGTTCTTGGGAAATAGTAACATCCTGACTCTTCAGATTAAGAACTCAAATTGAAAGAAAATAAAACCATTAATGTGAATGACTGACCTCTCTCATGCCCTCTCCGATAAATCCATTTTTCCCCTCCTCTACTTTTTGACCAGGAGAAGAAATACCGCTTTCAAAACCAGGTAGACAAGATGAAAGAAAAGGTTAAGAATGTGGAGGAAAGATCGAAGGAATTTGTTAACAGAGTGGAAGAAAAGAGTCATGATCTAATTCAAAAGTGGGAAGAGAAGTCAAGGGAATTCATTGGCAACTTCTTAGAACTGTTTGGGCCAGATGGAGCATGGGTATGTAATTATTTCATTTGGCCCCATGATGACGGGTATTTTCAGTGTATCTTCTTTTTCACGTAACTATCAAGGGTGTCCCTTATCTCAGTCCAATATGTGGTCTCCACTTTGGGCATCAGTCAGCCTGAGTGACTTCAAGTTCATGTCACTTCCCTATTTAGTTCCTGCTTTACCCAATATAGTACCCAATAGTACCCAAAGCCAGCTCTTGTCCAGAGCTTAAAGCCATTTGGTAGTCATTGAATGTAATTACTGCAGAGGTTGGTTCTGTAGCTCATCTCAGGTTCTCAGTGGGAGATGATACAAAGCTTGACGATAAAGGTGAACTGAGTCAGTGGCATTATGGAACTTGTAAGACAAGGCTAACTGGCTCTTGGATCTACCAGGGGAGGAGGGTGCAAATGAAACAGCTGCCTTGGTCAGATTTTGTTACCAGAAACTCTCCTCTTTCATTGGTTGGAAGAGAGAGAAGAGGTAGGATTTGACCCTGCGTGTATACCCATCATGCCCTGATTTCCCTGTTTCTTCTTTTTTCCCGTCCTGTTTTTTCCATAGCATGTATATGTTGGCACAAAAGTCTTTGACGCCACAATCTGAATCTTAAAACAGAAACTGTCAAGGGTCTCTTGCCTAAATTCTATAGAAAATTCTAAATGAAATATATGAGAAGGGAAAAGAAAATTCTGGAAACCACCTTGAACTCCCTTGGTATTTTCTATTGTATGTGCATTTCCAGAGTAAATAACCAACATTGTCAGCAGAGTTAATGAGGGTTCTTTGAAAGAGATACTTTTACAGCTAACTTCCTTTTAAAACAAAAATAAATGATTCCATTTAATTTCCCTGATTTTAAGTAGCCTAGATTTCCTATTATGACATGAGAAGTCTCTAACAAAATCCACTTCGCTTTAATTATTTTATTGATGGGTTGTCACTCCTGCCTCTCTGCTCATTTGAGCTGGTTCATTAGAGGATTATCTAAAAGTAAAACACTCAATTAGTAATAGAAAAAGAACAACGTTTGAGAAATGGGAAGAGACACTTTGCTGAAAGCCTAGTGGTTTCTAAGTGATTATAGAGGGGGGATATCGCAGGCCAACCATGTCCTGTTGGCTGAGTCTGCAAGGGGCTGCTTTAATCCTCGTTGACGGCTAGAAAGAGATGGCAAGAGTGGAGGAGCCAGGGGCCGGGTTCCTTTTCCTTCTCCCTCGGGCATGTTAACATTTTCGCTCAGGTCAGTTGAATTCATGGGACAGTATGAATGTCCTTGTGTGTGCACAGTACTGGGGACCAACATGAGGACAATGTGCAGACCCTCTTCTATGGTGTTCGTGGTCTCTATAACATAAAGTCTGAAGTTCCCCATTAATCTGGTGTGTAATTTAATGGTTCTCAGTTTCACAACTAATCTTCAAATGCTGAAGAAACAGCTAGTGGTTTGTTAATGAAACCATGTAGGTATTCATATGCTTATAGGGACTCAGAAATGTGTCTGCTGAGAAACTCTGATGTTGTAACTCAAGGGGGTGGGTGTTTTCTCCATATGGAGTGAGCAAAGGCAGGGAAGGAATATCATTTCATAGAAACTGTGTAGACCCTAGTCGTTTCAGGCTCCCAATGAAGGTGAATAGTAGCTGGAATTGTTCTGGGGCAGGGGGTCTGGTGACAGCGAGCTGAGGTGATTTTTAAGAAATGAAACCCAGCTTAGAGACGGGAGGTTTTTCTTTTTAACACTTGCTATTAGTGTCAAAACTGTTATTAACATTAATTTACTGTATCAGCCAGACTTAGACATTACTTTTTTTCTGTTGACATTAAAAGTACAGGAATAGTTACAAGGATGTTAAACGCCAAGATAAGTAATTTGCTTTTCATGAATATGCTATTACTATAATAATTCTTTATTTGTGAATTTAGGACTGGAATTCATTTCTTAAAATAGAGGACCCGCATTATCTGAAAATACAGTACTGATACAAATAACCCAAACTTGAAAAGGCAGAAAATAGAAGGATTTAAGTTACAAAATTCATAGAGCCTTCTGGAATTTGCAAAGGATATGGCATGGCTCAAATCTTCCATATCTACATCGATCTATATTACTCTATATGATCAATATATACAAATAGATATAGTTCTGGATACAAAGCTTGGTTCCAACTTGATCTTTGATGGATCAAATTTAGCAGGCAGACATGGTTTGATTGGCCCTCACAGACTAATCCTGGTATATTTGGGGAGGACAATCACAAGAATATGAATACCAGGAGGTGGTGGGGCCATCTTGGCAGATGGCTACCCCAATTGCATTTGAGGATTTGAGCAAGCAATCAGCTTCTCAATCACTAGAATAGACTATCTATTCCCATTTATTCAGTCTCATTGGTGGATTATCAGAGCCAAAGATATCATTTTTCAATCTCATCACCTACCACCCTATTTATTTAAGTATAGTCATGCACCACATAAAGATGTTTCAGTCAAAGTTGGACCACATATATGATGTTGGTCTCATAAGATTATAATGGAGCTGAAAAATTCCTATCACCTAGTGATGTCATAGCCATCTATATATATAAAAACCTAAGCGACCAAACAACCGAACGACCAGTCACAATGACATGCACTGACCACCAGGGGGGCATATGCTCAATGCAGGAGCTGCCCCTGGTGGTCAGTGTGCTCTTACGGCCAACCTCCTGAGGCCAGCCAACCTCTCACAGTCCCTCCCCCGAGCCAGCAGGCCCCAATTGGACCCCATTGGGACTGGGTGAGATGGCCCAGATTGGCCCCGATCACTGGCCAGGCTGAGGGACCTCACCTATGCACGAATTTGTGTACCAGGCTTCTAGTTGTAGTATAACACACTACTCATGATTTTGTGGCAATGCTAGTATAAACAAACCTACGGTGCTGCCAGTCCCATTAAAGCATAGCACATACAATTAAGTACAGTACATCATACTTGACAGGACTATGTTACTGGTTTATATATTTGCTATACTATATTTTTGTCAGTAGTTTATAGTTGTTCTATTTATAAAATTTGTTATAGACATATGCTGTGTTACACCAGCAGCAGCTTCATACATCTCATGTCTACTGGGTCTCTTGATTACATTATTTCCTCTTGAACTCGATTTACTCTGGTGTTTTGTCGTAACATGCTGTACAGGCCTGTAGCCTAGGAGTAATAGGCTATACCAGGGGTGGGGAATGTCCAGCCCGTGGGCCGTATAAGGCCTGAGAAATCATTTGGCCTGGCCCTGCCAAGGCATTAGGGGTGAGTTAATTAAATGTTTGACCAAATAGAGCAGGCTCATTTTTAAGTTGACAATTTTGTATGGCCTGCAGATGATGTTATAAATATCCAAATGGCCCTTGGCAGAAAAACGGTTCCCCACCCCTGGGCTATCCCATAGGGCCTAGGTGTAGTAGGCTACACCATCTAGGTTTGTGTAAGTGCACTCTATGATATCTACACAATGATGAAATTGCCTATGACATTTCTCAGAATGCATCCTTGTCGTTAAGTGATACATGACTGTATGTGACCGATTCTTGTAACCTCTTGACATTCTCAAAAGACAGCCTGTAACCCAAGCAGAGCGACAAAGCGAGGGGGTGTCTCTTTGAAAGACACTATCAAGGGAGGGGCTTTAAAGAAGTTAAATTTTGAAGCTTTGTTGCCATGGTGGAGGCAACACCATTCACTTCTGAGGTATTAAGTGGCAAGCAGCCAGGACTGAGGTAGGCTGAATCAGCTTTCACAGTTAGGTTTTGCTGTAGGGCCTTCCTAGTGAAAGCTGTTTTTTGTTTGAAGTATCTGAATCCAGAGCAGACACATTCTATTTAAACATTAGCGCCCCAACCACATGTGCTGTTTTTTTAAAAAACATGTGTTATTTTGAATGATCTGCCACTATATTTCTTCATTGACTGAACACAGAGAATCATTTCTGGTTTGAAGTGAAAGTGGGTCTATTCTATTTTACCATGTGAATGTAGACCCTTTCCTTGGAGCACCAGGAGACAATGACCTTAAGCCAAGTGCAAATTTCTAGTTCATCCTGGACCACAAACTCCCTCTGCCTCAATTTAATCAGTCGGCCAACCAAACAGGCCTTTGCCATCTGACATATGAGATTACCTTTAAAAAAAGAAAAGGCTGACGTTGTGTTTTAAAACAGATTTATATGATGGGAGGTCCATTGGTGGTTGCTAGATGCAGGGGGTGGAGGGGTGGGTAAAATGAGTGAAGGGAATCAAAGGTACAAATTTCCACTTATAAAATAAGTAAGCCTTGGGGATGCAATGTACAGCATGGTGACTGTATGTAATACTGTACTGCATACTTAAAAGTTGCTAAGAGAGTAGATCATAAAAGCTCTCATCACAAAATTGTGTAACTATGTGTGGTGATGGATGTTAACTAGTCTTATTGTGGTGATCATTTCACAATATATACAAATATTGAATCATGTTATACACCCGAAACTAAAATATGTCAATTATGCTTCAATTAAAAAAATAAATGTGAGCATAGACTTTTTTCTCTATTGTTTACTCCTGTATCCTTAAGACTGAGATTAATACCTGAACCATACATAGTGTGCTATCAGGAAATATTTGTTGAGAGAATGAATGCTCAATTTTCAGACTTTTCATGTCAGGAAAACCCTCCATAATACTTTGTAATAAACAAAATGTTTCTTTTCAACTTCTATCATGAAAATATACCATGCTAGCAAAACAAAAACAAAACCAAAAAACAAATCCATGTGTGTGTGTGTGTGTGTGTGTGTGTGTGGTGTGTGTATAGACATATATAATGGGATATTATTTGTATCTACCACATTTTTGTTTATCCATTCATTGATAGACTTCTGAATTGTGTCCACCTTTTGGCTATTGTGAATAGTACTGATATACACATGGATATACAAATATCTGCTTAAGTCCCTGCTTTCAATTAAGTGTAATTGCTATATCATATG